ATGCTGGATTCATAGAATGAATTCAGGAGTATTCATTCCTTTTCTATGCTCTGAAGTAGTTTGAATAGTACTGCTGTGAGCTCTTCTCTAAATATTTGGTAGAATTCTCCTTTTAGCTGTCTGGAAATATTTGTCTATCTAAAAAAAAACTGGTGGCATGATGGCAGCTGGCAATGGGGGTGAGGAGGACCCAAGGGCCAGTGGGAAGGGAAGAGAGGTGACTTGAGAGGCTAGATGGGAAGGAGAAAGAAGAGAAAGCAAAAAAAAGGCAAAACAAGCAAAAAAAAGCGCACTGCTGGAGTTAGCAGATGGAGGCAGGTTGGACATGGAACGATGGGTCAGTTGCCCTCTAGCCACAGCACCGTGGGGGACCAGTGGGAAACGGGGAGATGGCATATGTTAGGTGGAGGGTGAAAGAAAAGAAAGAAAGAGAAAAAAAGAAAAAAAATGGTGTGGTGTGGGCTGGCAGGTGGGAGTGTGGCAGACATGGGGCGGTGAGTGGCTGGTAAGTCAGTGGCTCTCTAGCTGGGGCCATGTGGCGGGGACTGGTAGGAAGAGGGGGAGGCTGAGTATGAGACTAGGTGGGAGGGAAAAACAAAAAGAAGAAAGAGAAAATAAATAAATAAAATTTAAAAAAAATTAAACACTGGCAGTGTAGTGGGGATGGTGAGTGGGGGCAGGATGGACCAAGGACCAGTGGGAAGGAAGGGGAGGTGATGTATGGGGCTAGGTGCGAGGGAGAATAAAAGAAGGGAAAAGGGAAAAAAGCCACAAGGAAGGAGGGGGTGGGGCAGGTCTGGGGGAGGGGCTCCTATTGTGGACCCCAACAGTGGGAGCTGTCAGGATGGGGGGAAGTTCTTGCTTCAACTCACCAGAAGGGTGAGGGGGTGGGAATACGTGTTTCTTTGGTTACCAGCTGCTCTGTCTCCTATTGGGAGCTCTGCAAAGTTGCCTTCCCATACTCCGTGTTTGGGGTCATTGCTGTCTGTGCTTCAAAATGGCAACACTGTGCCATGTTAGTTGTCAGGGGACCTCCACTCTGTATCTCTCCTCATTCTCTGTTTTCCATCAGTTTCTTCTTCCATTCAGTGTTTGATCTAGTTCTTTAGCCTATCATTTGATGCTTAGGGTTCCCAGATTGACATTTGTATCTGTTTTACTTAGTTTTGGGATCTTTGCTGCAGAGGGTGCTTCTGTCTAGCGTGCCATGTTGGCTCCACCACCTAAAAATATATTTTAATAAATACACTCTTCTATGAAGTTAGTCCTAATAAAATTGTAAGATATAATTATTGCTTCATTACTTCCTTATTTGAACTTTTCTCTTAGACGCAGACATCCTCAAACACCTTTCCCTGCCAACCCCCAGGGAATGGTGAATATGTGTTTACTCTCCTCAATAATGGAAAGAGATGTACTTGGAATACAAATTTTTAGAAATGTCATGTTAATATCTAGAAAGAGCACATAGTAGTGTAACAACATGGATGTTAGCCAATATATTACAGTAAGCTGCAGGATTAGTTGGTTATTTCAGTTAGGTCATTTCTGCACAAGGAGGCCAGGTGGCAAAATCTTGGTGGTTTGAACTCACCCAATGGTTCCTTGGGAGAAACCAGATTATCTGCTTGCATAAAGATTACAGGGTTTTATAACTCCAAGGGGTAGTCTATTCTGTCACATGGGGTTGCTGTAAGTTGAAATTGACTGGATGGTGCCTCACAACAGCAACAACAGTTTCTGTACTAGGTTGTAAAACTCAGGAGAGGTCAAGGTAGGTATTAATCACTCCAAACCCCAATGCTAACTTAGCCAAGATAAACCACAACATCTGATAACCCAGAAATAATTAGTTAAGATTTCATAATTTACAACTACCTGCATTTTATCCAGCGCTGGAAGTGCTCACTCATCTATGCCAAGAAATTTGGAAGACAGTTACCTGGCCAACCAACTGGAAGAGATCCATATTTGTGCCTATTCCAAAGAAAGGTGATCCAACAGAATGCAGAAATTATAGAACCATATCATTAATATAACACACAGGTAAAATTTTGCTGAAGATCACGCAAAAGTGGTTGCAGCAGTACATCAACAGGGAACTGCCAGAAATTCAAGCCAGATTCAGAAGAAGATGTGGAACCAGGGATATCATTGCTGATTTCAGATGAATCTTGGCTGAAAACAGAGAATACCAGAAAGATGTTTACCTGCGTTTTATTGACTCTGCAAAGGCATTCAACCGTGTGGATCATTATAACAAATTATGGATAACACTGGAAAGAACGGGAAGTCCAGAACACTTAATTCTCATGAGGAACCTGTACATAGATCAAGAGGAAGTAGTTCAAACAGAACAAGAGGATACTGCCTGGTTTAAAGTCAGGAAAGGTATGTGTCAGGGTTGTATCCTTTCACCATACTTATTCAAATCTGTATGCTGAACAAATAATCCAAGAGGCTGGACTATATGACGAAGAATGTGGCATCAAAATTGGAGGAAGACTCATAAACGACCTGCAATCTGCAGATGATACAACCTTGCTTGCTGAAACTGAAGAGGACTTGAAGCACTGATGAAGATCACAGACTACAGCCTTCAGTATGGATTACACCTCAAAATAAAGGAAACAAAAATCCTCACAACTGGACCAATAAGCAACATCATGATAAACGGAAAAAAGATTGAAGTTGTCAAGGATTTCATTTTACTG